GGAACAATATAAGATGCTTTCTTCTATACCTCTTCGACAACCTCCCTTTCGGACGATTTTCGTGTATTTTTCTCAATCTCTACTCTTTTCTCACCAGAACTCTCCTTAACCTCATTATCACTCTCCTCAACCCATTATCACTCTCCTTAGGATTTTTCAATTTGTTTTTCACTAATGGTTGTTACAACATCCATATGATCCTCAGGGAAGGATCCTAGAGGTTTTTGTTCAAGTAGGGAGATTTAAGTCTCTAAGTCCATGTTATGAGTCGCTAGGGACTCGAGCACAGTGTTCAGATGCCTAAGGGTTTCATTAATATGGAGACTTTGTTTGCTAAACTCTTCATTTTGGACAGTTTGTGTCTCTACAAAGCTCTCCATCATAGATTCTAGCCTAGAGAGAGTTTGTGTTTCAATAAAATTCTCCATTAATATTTGAAGGTCGGATTTATGGGAATCTTGTGATTCCTCAAAATGTCAGGTGTGGTGATTGTAGAGGAAAATTGGTTGAGGATAAGTTAGTGTCACGTTGAAATCCTCCATTAACGTTTTGAGGTCGGATTTATGGGAATCTTGTGACTCCTAAAAATATTGGGATTGGTAGTTGGAGAGGTAATTTGGTTGAGAATGAGTTAGTGATGCATTGAAATTCTCCATTAGTATTTCGAGGTCTGATTTATGGGATTCTTGTGATTCCTCGAAATACTGAGAGTGAGAGTTGTAGAAAAAGTTTGGGTGATACATAGTAATTTAGGTAAGAGTTCCTTAGTTTATACGGTGCAACAACGAAATAACAATATTGACTGTTGGTCCCCGACAACATCGTCAAAAACTTGATGCATCCGCAAGTGCAAAAAATATTGAAGTAATATAAAAGATTTTCGAACCAACATAGATCGATATCAAACTATTGTAATCTACATCGCTTTGTAAAGCTAAGGCTAATAATTAATTGATTTAATGGTAAGTGAAACTAAACTAAAGTTAATTGGGAAATATGATAATAAAGAGAGACCAAAATGTGTATTTTGCATACCTCAGTGACTCTGTTACTCGTTGGCTTATACTGATGTTAAAAATATGTTTAGTAGAAAATAACAATTTAAAGACAATACCTCACATTCTCATGGTTTTGAATAAAGTCACGTTCCTTAACCATAAGAATCGATACCCCGTTCTTACTATCCGGTTCAACCCCCACGCTCTCGTAGTGCCGGTTTAAGCCTTATTTAATTTCTCACTCTCGTGACAAAATCGTGTTAAGTAACTTCTCACTCTCGTGACAAAGCTATTTAAATTAAGTCTAAAAACAAACACCAAAAACATAATTTCTAAATTAAATATTAAGCCAACATTGTTACCGAGTCTCATCGGAAACGACGGTCCTTACATATCGGACTCTAAATGTTTAGCCTGACATACCATGGATTAAAAATGAATTAAACATAACAATTACAATTAAGAACAACATGGAAATTAAATTAAGAATGACGATAATAATAAAGCGATAAAAGAAAACCTGTAAAAGTTGAAGTAAAAGAAACTGGAACTAACTTCAATTGTGGTAGCAAGATTGTCGATCCAAGAAAGCTACACAAATTACAGGCCTAAACACTAATAGTGGAGTAGTTTCTCGATGTGAGAAACTACTCCTTTTACAATTGTGATTTCTGCCTAAAACTATGAACAACGCTTCAGCGCATAAATTTGGATGCGTTCAAAAATGAATGATAGATCCTTTATATAGTGAAAACTAATGGTAGTTACTTTAAGATTCATATGAGAAGTAGTGGAGATAATGGGAAGTTGGAGAAAGTAGGAATAATGGGAAGTTGGAGATAATGAGAAGTTAGAGAAACTGAGAATAATGGTATGTTGGAGAAAGTGGAGATAATGGGAGGTTGAGAAGATCATGGGGTGAGTGGGAGAAAATATTATTGAGTAGTTGCTCTTTTTCTGTACTGCTACATCATGGCGAACACCACCAAGCCATGGCGAACGCCATGCACCAAAAACTTGGTTTTTTGCTGTATTTTTCTCCCTTTCTTGTTCCTTTTCTGGTTTCTTCGCATAGTTGCTCCATAATTGATTTATACCTGAAATACAAACAGAAGAAGACATAAAAGCGATAAAACATAACAAAATAATGTCAAATAACATGCGAAACGAGTCTAAGAACACGATACATTTTCACGCTATCACACGTCCTAGGTGTGGTCATCCCAAGCCTTAATTACCTCTTAATTAGATGGACTAGGTTGTTTTCCAGGAGCGTTTGATGTTATGATAAGGTGTGACACTATATAGAACAGTCAGATAGCCATCTACATAAGCCCAATGTATTAGAGTTGTCACACTGAGATACTCCTTTGGTACAAAATGAATCTCGAAATCCTCAAGTATCACATCAAGATCTCTAAGGCGGATGGTGGAAAGAGCGGTCTCTGAGGAGTGTCTAAGAATAATCTGCAAATAAATAAACGGGTTCATCACTCAATTGAGAAGATAAGAATACATCAGACTTGACTCACATGTTAGTCACCCGAAGTATAAAGAAATGACGTACAATGAATGCGTCTGGCGGTGACTGTCATATGGGCAAAAGGCAATGTCACATGCTACATGACAATCAAGATACACTCGAAATAACTTGGTCGTCTGAGGCCCTGTATAACTCTCTACTAGGGCATTAACAACAAGTTCCTCTTAGTCCTCTTGGGTTTTAGGTGCTTCATCAGTTGGGGACACATGGCCCCGTGAAGTAGAGGCATGCGATATTCGACTACGAGAAGTAGAACCAGATAGTTGGGAACCTTGACGTTTGAACCATCAAACGAGTTATTATCGATTTGTGGCCTCGTGGTCCTGGCCAAGCTCTCTCACGTCGTACAGACGCAAGCTGGGATACACGATCATGCCTAATTCTGTCAAAGTTGTTTTCAGTCATTGTACGTGTGTTAAAACTAGAAATTCACATAAAAAATTAAACTGAAATGGAGCCAGGTACAAATCCGGAGATACATCTTCGAAAATAGTTCAGACGAAATTCGAAGATGCATCTCTGGATAAATGTGTTATTTTGCAATAATGATAAAAACACCATTGTTGCCTTAACCTCTAGCCAAATGGCAATTCATGTCCATATCAGCTATCTATTTCAATTGCAATACTATCTAATGCACCTTAAACCATCTTTGTTACCTAAAACATCATTCAAAACATACAAAAAATGAAATTATGAAATGAGAAACTTACCAAATCAAGGTTGTGGACGAGAAGCTTGAATAGAGTGAGTAACTTTGCAGCAAATGAAGTGGAATAGAGTGAGTGAACTTGATGAAACTTCCTCAACTAAGATTTGTAAATGGTTTGCAGTAAAAGAGCTCAAATGAGATTTTTTGTTGAGTTTGCATAAAATAAAAGAAGGAGGAGGGAGGGAGGGTATATGAAATAAAAGCATTAGGAGGTTCATCTCCATAAACCTTCTTGAAATTTAAAGAAATTTTAAAATAAGAGTGTTTACAGATATGCATCTTCAGATTAACCTAATATACATACAGAGATGCATCTCCAAAATAAAATTTACCAAAATAAAAGTCCCTTGTCAATTTGCACTGAGGAATATTTAAAAAAAGGTACACTCTAAAATGCATCTTCGAATTTTAAAAATAGTTATAACTTTTCACTGTGATGTAAAAGCACTCTATAGAATTGGATGAGTAAATCCCTTTGATTTTTACATGCGTCGACCATGCACGTTTGGATGACAATGTTTTTTGTTTTGAATATTTAAGGCGACCTCAATGGTTTTTTGTTAATGATGTGTGACATATTAAAGGTGTGTGAAAGAAAGTTTCACTACATTTAAACTTTAACTGGACTCCAACTTTAACAGGACTACAACTTTTAAATTTGCATTCTGATTTAGCATAGTATCTACAAACACACAAACACTCTGATGTCTAAATAAGTGAAGATCAACAATGATAGATTTTAGGGATTAGAATAATATGTATCTTGATGAGATGCATTTGCTAGACTTTTTTTTTTTTGGATATGTAGACAAAGATGTAATAACTATTAGAAATCACAACACTGACTTTGTTCGACTTTTATTATAGGATTCTAGGATTTTCAAGGTTCTATAACCTTCTACTTTGAACATGTAAGAAATGAAAAATGTCAAGAGGAGAGGAATATTCATGATATGGTCTAAGGTTATATGCTCTTTCTTGTTGCTTTGATAATTGAATTTTCAATGTTTAGAACGATTTTAAGAATTTATTAAAGCCGTTAACGCATTTTTGAGTTTCTTCGTATAAGATGTTTTTTTAGGAAAGAAGAATATTTTAGTTTTATGAAAGAAATGATCGCACCAAAGAAGATGATAGCTGGTAGAGGTGTTATAAAAGAATAAACAATATAATACAGTCTCTTCCAATTTGTGACCGGACATGTTAAGTTTACCTACATATAAATTTCATTCCTACAAACAGTTTAAATTATCAGAGTTACTATCATAAAACTGATAATGACTTTTCAATGTATCACAAAGATAATTTCTAATCTGACTCTAGATATCTTATTCTGCTAGATAAGATGAAATACGTGAATAATTTATTTATTGGATACCCTTTCAAAAACTTCTCCCTATATTTTCTTAAATCATTTCCTAATTCTTTTCATCTTCAACCTTGCATTAGTTCTGCAGATGTACAACATAGACCAAAGGCTAGGCAACAATAACAGATACAAAGGGCTAATACAATAAACATGTCTTTTAGTACAATATTATCATACAACAATTATTGTCCATACTAATGGACACTACATACTCAATAATACAACAGTCATTCACCCGTTTTCGGGTACTCGGATGCACATTCAACATAAAGGCTGCAAATTTGGGTTTGAACATGCCACCAAATTCGCACAACACCAATACAATTATGCAAAAATACACCAAATTTTCATGCGCAGTGATATCTCCAGCAATTAGACTTATTCAAATAGATAAACTTCATCATATCCTTTCCTACAAAAGGCATAAACATATATATATATAAGCAACCTTACAAGTAAACATAAAAATGGAAAATTCGTAAAAAATCTCGGGCTTACCCTGCCTTTCCACCATAAGTAGGTTTGTAATTGTAAATGAGATTGTCTAACACTTCCCGAGCAACTGGTCTGTTTAAGGATTTCCTCGCTTCACTGGAGCCCGATCCGTGAAAGTAATACAATGTCAAGTAGCCATTGAGAAGTTAGAGCAAACAAACATAGCAAATGGAACTCAACGATTCATAGCTAGCAAGATTGTTTCACAGATATTTTTCCAAACTTTATTTTGGATTTACAGTAAGCATAAATTCATTAAATGTATGAAGTTTTTATTAAATTCTTGAGTCCTGCCTGACCTGACCAAAAAATTTGCAATATGCTGAGTTACCCGAATGGCATCCTCTGAGTGTGGAATTTTTGCTGAGCCCCATTCAAAGGCATTTTTCTGTAAGCACCATTTACAAGGATGTTACAAAGCTAAAATAAAGAACTAAAAGCGGCGCATGAAATCAGAGTCATCGTGCAAAATATAATCACCTCTGGATGCCATTGGAAGCCAGTCACCGGATATTTACGTGCACGTACTGTGGAAACATAAACCTAAAACAAGTACAATTGGTATCAGATTTTATTCATGACAGAAGCTCATCAAAGGTTATGAAATGAAAAAGATCGATTTAGGAACCATATCACCTCATAAGAGAACGTATCATTGTTTACCTTATCATTGTCATCAGTGCAAGTTGTCAAGATCCCGAAAAAACTAGATAACTTTTCATTGCTCAGGAACTTTGAAGGTGATATGCCATACTGTCGGACAAAAAAAATAGATACAAAACTTAGTACTAAATTTCAAACATGTATATATGATAAACTTCATTAAACTTTGTTTTTCAAGAACTAAGATAGCGTCAATAATGACAACTTTGAAAAATAGACCATTTGCATTTACTAAAAATCTTGCCCAAACAGACGAATATCAATGATGTGGATCAAGTTGACGAATACTCCAATTTATGGAAATTGATCAAGTCTATATTTACTCACACGATGATTTTGCATGGCAAGACAATCTGTACTCAACTTCTTTAACAAGTCTGGAGGAAATCTGCAGGACATAAGAAGTGGTTAATAATTTGCATATTAAACTCAGTGACAAAATGTTAAAGAACCTATACATTAAAGACTTTCGAATGACTGAAAATTATAGAACATAAAACGCACAATTTGCATCTTCTAACTCCTCTTACGTGTTGGGACAAATGACTCCCGTCAGTGATAGCTAACCATACTAATCAAATCCAACAAAGTCAGAAATTAAGTGTATTTACGTAAAGTCAGAACATTATAGTGAAAGTTGATCCATGTAACCGACCCCATTTAGTGGGATACGGCTTAGTTGTTGTTATTGTTGTTGTTACGTAATATGATATGTTTTAAAGGAATCATGTTTAAGCTAATGAGTTGTTAAATCGTAATGTTATGAAATAGGTTTATGTCAATACAAGAAACTCTCTCTTAGATGAATACTGTCATTGATATGGAGAAAAATCAATGAAATAAAGTTGGCCAATTACTTTGCAGATCTGTTGCAGGGAAGAGAAAGACAACAATTTTAAGTTCAAAGTCCAGCTTGCAAACTCATTGTATGTCCACCGAGAGATCTATGTGCAACTACAAACAGATACAATTGACAGAGATTGTTTACCTTTGAAATACAGATCCTTCTATATTTGTATTCTCCACAAACTGAAGGCTACTTGCCTCATTTCTTGCTCCAAATGCTTCAAGAATATTATTATCCTATCATGAAGAAAAAGAACAGCCAAACATGTAAACATACAAACAAAAAAAAAGGACCAGAATATGATGTAACTTGTCAAAAGTCTTCAACTTTTCACAACATTTCAAATCATGAATATTGTTCAAGCCTTCAAGGTGTTCAACATGTGCATAAATTATACCGAGTCGACATAATAGCTAATCTTTCTACTCTGTGTTGGGAATTTGAAATCCAAAAGAAATCATCAACACTAATTTTTACGAACAAATAGTTGTGGCCACTAGTCATGTATCTGATTCACCCAAACAACCATAAGAAAGTTGTTAAGATAAGTCAAAGATATTTTAGCTAAATTAAGTAGGAAAATATTTGTGCTGTAAATAATTTATTTCATTCCCTTAATAGAAGAGGAATTATAGGGACTCTTTTATGTATATATAGTACCTTGATCAATGAATAAAATAATCAGAATTATTACTTTGAAATCTTCTATATGGTATCTAGAGCCAATACCGTCTCTCTTTCAATATAGGAACGGTGGTTTTTTTATTTCTTAGTAATTTCTGATGGCTTATGATAAAAACAAATAGGAGAATTCTGGAACTTCCGCTGTTGTCCAATTCAACGATGCACTCACCCCAGAACGGCTTGACGGCACTAACCACGTCGAATGGTCGTTGAATGCACAGAACAAAATTAGAGGCAGAAAACGATGGGGTTACGTTACCGGAACAAAGACTGCACCAGCAAAAGATAAACCCGATGAATATGAAGCATGGGAAGATGAAAATTGCTTGGTCAAGTCTTGGCTTCTTGACTCCATGACCAAAGAAATCAGATCTCTTTTCATTCGCTTAGCTACGGCGAAGGAAATTTGGGAAACTGCGAAACAAACGTACTTCGTCGACCAACATGCATCAAGAGCTTATCAATTGCATCGTGAGGTAATCTCTACTCAACAAAATGGTGGATCTGTTATTACATACTTTGGAAAATTGCAGAGGCTATGGCAAGAGTACGATAGTATTAATAATTGTACCATGGAATGCACTAAAGATGTTGAGAAATACAATAAGATGGTTAATTCTCAACGAGTTTATGTTCTATTGGCTGGTTTGGATTCACATTTGGATGGAGTTCGTGGTCGTGTTCTGGCTACCACTCTGCTTCCTAATGTTCAATCAGTTTATGCAATTGTATGTGCAGAGGCGAATCGCCAAGAAGCTATGCTAAGCGGTGAGTCTTCGAATGGTTCCGCCTTAGCTGTCAAGAAGTATCCGAAAAAAGAAATTCGCAAGTGTAATCACTGTAATGGAGATAATCATGTCATAGAGACATGTTTTAAGCTCCATGGCTACCCGGAGTGGCATCCAAAGGGAAAAACTACTTCGAATAATAAGACAGAAAACAGCAAGGCTCATCTTTCTACTGCTGCCGGCTTCGTAACCAAGTCAGGTATGTCTAACTCTGCTCATAATCCTTCTGTTATTATTAGAAATAGCGATTGGATAATCGATACAGGTGCTACTGATCATATGACTTGTGATCAACACATGTTTACTAATTTCTCTCCTAATTGTCATAAAACTGTTATTATTACTGTCAATGGAGTGAAATCTCCCATTGAAGGTGTTGGTACAGTGACTCTATCACCCTCCCTATCAATACCTAAGGTCTTATTTGTTCCTACCTTGAATTGCAATCTTATCTCTGTCAGTAAATTAACAAAATCACATTCATGTGTCGTTGTGTTTTATCCAATCCACTGTGTTTTTCAGGATATACATACCAAGGAGAAGATTGGCAGTGGTAGATATAGTGAAGGGCTTTATTATCTTGAAAAAGTTTCACAAATCCTTAAAGGAGCATTGGTTCATCTTGCAAGTGATCACATACAAGATCAAAATAAAAATAAAAAATTTGGCTATGGCATAGACGATTGGGGCATCTCTCTTTTAGTTATCTAAAAAAATTGTTTCCATCGTTATTTCATAAATGCAATATTTCATATTTTCTTTGTGAAACTTGTGTTATGGCAAAAAGTCATCGTGCTATTTTTCCCTTGAGTAATAAGAAAACAGACTTTCCTTTCTCTTTAGTACACACTGATGTTTGGGGTCCTGCTCCACAATCTACACATAATGGAAAAAAATGGTTTATTAGTTTTGTTGATGATTGTACACGGGTAACCTGGGTATATTTGCTACAACATAAAAGTGATGTGTATGATGTGCTTCGCTCCTTTCATCAAATGATAGTAACACAATTTAACACATGTATTAAGGTAATTAGATCAGACAATGGAGGGGAATATTTTAAGAAAGAATTAAAAGATTTTTTGAACTCTAAGGGCATTTTGCATCAAACATGTCCTTATTCCCCCCAACAAAATGGGGTGGCCGAGAGGAAAAATAGACACATATTAGAAGTTACTAGAACACTCCTAATTGATGGTAATGTTTCATCTCATTTGTGGGGCGAGGCTGTGAATTCAACAGTTTACTTAATTAATCGAACCCCCTCTGGTGTGCATAACTTTAGAAGACCTCTAGATGTTTTATCTGATCATCATGTTCTCCCTTCCATTGTTCATTTACTACCTCATGTTTTTGGATGTGTTATATATGTTCACTTACACCCACATCAACGTACGGAACTTGAAAAACGAGCTCTTAATTGTGTCTTTGTTGGGTATGGATCAACTCAAAAAGGTTATCGTGCTTATCATCCATCATCTAAAAAAATTTATATTTCAATGGATGTAACTTTTCATGAAGATAACTTTTTCTATGTTGATTCTACACTTCAAGGGGGGAATGAAAGTGAAGTGCAGCACCATGATGTTAGCATGTTTGACTTACTTTGTGAAGATAAATTATCTTGTGAGGATCATTCTGCAGGTAATGAATCAATCTCAAATATGGACACATCACCTTTAGATAATACAGTTTCCCCTGACGATAATCAACTAGTTCAATCTTCTCCACAAGATCAAGTTAACTCTCCAGAGGTATTTCCTAATTCTATTCCCGATAATACAATTATCAATGGAGTTCATACTAATGTTCATTCTGAAGTAGGTACTAATGTTCATTCTGAAGTTGATTCCTTTTCTCATGAAATTGACCCTAGTTTCCATGAGACCACCAACACACCTAACACTTAATCCATTATTGTCCAATATAATCTTCCACCTCGTTCTAACCGTGGTCAACCTCCCATTAGATATGAACCAGACCTTCAGTCCAAAGTTAAATATCCCATTAGTAATTATGTGTCATCTCACAAGTTATCTAAGTCATATGCATCATTTGTATCTCAATTATCCTCAATTTCTATTCCTAGTAATGTGCAGGAAGCTTTAGCAGATCCTAGATGGATTGAAGCAATGGTTGTGGAAATGGCAGCTTTAGAAAAAAACAACACTTGGGATCTTGTGACGCAAAAGGGAAGAAAACTGTGGAGTGTAGATGGGTTCATACAATTAAACACAAAGCTGATGGAACTATTGAGAGGTATAAAGCACGACTAGTGGCTAAAGGTTACACTCAATCTTACGGTGTAGATTATCAAGAGACATTTGCGCCGGTAGCCAAGCTCAACACTGTGAGAATACTTTTGTCACTAGCAGCAAACCAAGATTGGCCTCTTCTACAATTTGATGTGAAAAATGCTTTCCTACATGGAGAAATTTTAGAAGAAATTTATATGGATCTACCACCAGGTATGATAGATTCAAATGAGATGAAGGTTTGCAAGTTAAGAAAGGCTCTATATGGATTAAAACAATCCCCAAGAGCATGGTTTGGTAGGTTTACTAAGTCTATGAAGGCTTTTGGCTATAAAGCAAGTAACTCTAATCACACTTTATTTTTGAAGAAAGGAGGAAGTAAAATTACAGCTTTGATTATTTATGTAGATGATATGATTGTTACAGGGAATGACCAAGATGAGATGTCTAGTTTGCAAAAATACCTCGCTTCTGAATTTGAGATGAAGCAACTTGGAAACCTCAAATATTTCTTGGGTATTGAAGTAGCTAGATCTAAACATGGTATTTTTCTATGCCAGAGAAAGTATACTCTTGATTTACTATCTGAAACGGGACTGCTTGGGTGTAAACCTGTTGATACCCCAATTGAACAAAATCATATGCTATTTCAATGCCAAAATTCAGCCAGCATAGACAAAGGAAAATACCAGAGGTTGGTGGGAAAACTAATTTACTTGTCTCATACATGGCCAGATATTACATATGCAGTAAATGTCGTTAGTCAATTTATGCATGATCCACGGAAAGCTCATATGGATGATGTTGAAAGGATCTTGAGATATTTGAAGTCCACTCCTGGAAAAGGAATTTTATTCTCAAATCATGGAAACTTGAAGGTAGAAGGGTATACCGACGCTGATTGGCCAGGTTCAAGAAATGATAGAAGGTCTACCTCTGGTTACTTTACATTTGTAGGGGGGAATCTTGTAACTTGGAGGAGTAAAAAACAACAGGTAGTAGTAAGGTCTAGTGCTGAAGCTGAGTTTAGAGGCATGGCACTAGGAGTTTGTGAACTTTTACGGATACGAAATGTTCTATCAGATTTAGGTTTTGAACCAAGGGAGAGTATGACTTTGTATTGTGACAATACTTCAGCAATTGCCATTGCGCACAATCCTGTGCAACATGATAGAACAAAGCATGTAGAAATCGATAGACATTTTATCAAAGAGAAACTTGAAGCTGAAATAATTTCTTTTCCTTTTGTAAGATCTGAATTTCAGTTAGCAGATGTTCTCACTAAAGGAGTGGCAAGTAAGGTGTTTAATGAGTCTTTGTTCAAGTTGGGAATGTGTGATATCCATGCACCAACTTGAGTGGGGGTGTTAAGATAAGTCAAAGATATTTTAGCTAAATTAAGTAGGAAAATATTTGTGCTGTAAATAATTTATTTCATTCCCTTAATAGAAGAGGAATTATAAGAACTCTTTTATGTATATATAGTACGTTGATCAATGAATAAAATAATCAGAATTATTACTTTGAAATCTTCTATAAAAACTAACTCACCTCGCTTACGATCATCGATATAAGTTCAAAGCCTAAGCAGATGCCATATATTGGGAAATAGTCTCCGGCATCATATTTTTCTAAAGCTTTCTGCAACAACAAACACAAGTTATGTGAAACTAAAAAAAAGCATTAAATGAATACATCAATCAACAAAGCATTCCTTGGCATCTAAGAAATAAACTAATCTAACAGAATTACAAATCGTCAATAACAAGAACGTATATAGGAGTATTAGAACAGTAATAATAGATTGATAGTACCTTAAATATTGCTTTAACATTTTCAAAATATAAACCTTCCTTAGCCCATCCACCAGTGAATAGAACTCCATTTACCAATTCAAGCTTCTGCAATGATTGTAAAAAAGTAGTCAGTATCATCATCATCATCATCACAAAGATTTCTAAGAATAAAAGAGAAATAATGACTAACCTTGAGAAGTATCTCAGGTTGCTCAGTAGAGATAAGAGGAATAACTCTAGCCCCAGCAGCTTCAACGAATTTAACATAAGAGGCGGGGATGTTGGAAACGTCAGTAGCATTGCTGAGGCGACCGGTGGCGCCGTCGCCGGGGTGAGTGAGAATTCCGATGACAGGTCGGTAGTATAGATTGGGGTCAGGCGCGGGGCAGCTTGACGACGATGAGGTGAGTGAGTCGCGGAGGTGTTGACTCGGGAGAACTATTCCGGAGTGGGAGTGGGAGATTGTGATAAGGAAGAGAAACAAAACGACGGCGTTTGACATGTTGGAGAAGTGAATAGAGTGGAAATGGATGTCAGTACGCTGCTATTTATGTTATAATAACCAATCGATGAAGGTGTAAAGCACGTCAGTGTCACTTTCACCGGACCCATTTTGAAGAGAGGATAAATTGTTATTTTAGGAAAAGAATCTTCTGTTCCCCACGAGGATCATCAGCTTTTTATTATAATATCCCCTCTTGTCCGTATGGTTTTGTGTCGATTGATAAAAGTAGTGAAGCGGAATTGAGTAAAATAAAATAATATTTTATTATTTAAATAATTTAAAAATAATGGAATGGTATTTCTGTTCCGCTTCTGATCTATCTCGATCCATTCCACTCGGCTTTATTCCATTCATTTCATGATATTCAAACATAACCTAATATAAGAAAAAGCTTACTTTTTAAATTCATTGAAAAATCAATGTATCTAGACTATAAATAGTCTAGATACATTAATTTTTTAATGAATTTAAAAAGTAAATTTTTTCTTTTATTAAAGATATGATGTACTATCTCTCATTATGTATTGGGAATGATGAACTTTTTATTAATTAGATGGTAGAATTTGAAAAAATATATTGAAAATTGAAATAAATCATTTATTTTTAGAATGTTATTTTACTCCCTCTGTTCATTCTTAATTGTCACATTTAGACTTTTTACGTATACTAAAAAAGCTAATGATTATTGTTACTTTTTATATAATAATTTTCTTTTCTACTATCTAGCCGTTAAAATTAAAGGTCAGCACACTATCGATTTTGTCCTTCCCTTTTTAAAAAATCACAAAGCACAAAGGTCAATTTTATCTCTTCATAATTAAGACATTTATTCAACTTCTACACAAATCTCACTGTGACACGTGTCTCCACCAAATTTCTCTCCTTTAAACACTACATCTTTTCTCTTCTCTTTCTTTCTTTCATCCAAACCGTTCTTTCTCTCTTCTCCTATCTCTTTCCCCCCTCAAACTCTAGCCGCCACCCTTGCCCTTTTTCTCCATCATATATACGGCTTCTATCACCTCTAATAACACATTCATACTCCTCGTCTCACGATATTTTTAATAAATCGATTAGATTTTTCTTTCAAGCAACTTCGCTAGTGACCACCGCTTCTCACGATCTTTGTCATTTTTTATATTCTTTATTTTTTTACAATCTTCATTTTTACATTTCTTGAATGTTTCATTTTCAAGTTTTATGGATCAACAAAAACATTAGAAGAAACAATCACTATCAGGGTGAAGCAGTTCATTTGTTTTGATTTAAGAATCCAAATATGGATGTAAGCTTATTTTTAGTGATCCTTTTTGTTTTGTTAAAGTTCTTGAGTAAAGATTGATGGTTCATGTTGTTTTTTATTGATAGGAATATTAGAAGAGGATTGATCAAATACTAGATTTTGCGAACGAGTTGCCAATAACTCAATATTTTGAAACTACATCACAAGTTGGTTATGGTAAGAGTGTTTTGTACGGGTGTGGAACTCGATCTTACGTTGTTGATTTTAAGAAACCACTTGAAAGGTACTCCCTTCGTCTCATAATAAGTGTCTCATTTACACTTTTTCTATGTCTCAAAATAAATATCTCTTTAGAATACTGTTGTACCCCAAAATTTACCCTCTTTATTTTCATTATTACACACACATATAATTGGTTCTATGGTTATGGGATCAAAGTATATTTAGCAAGCTTCGTCAGGTTACAAGTGACGTTTATTTCGCCAATGGATGTTCTCAGAGTCATTTTCGTGTTGAAAATCGATTCGTCGTTTCGCAGTGATTCGAGGTTCAAAGATTCACAAGTTCAACCCGACGTGTCATACTCAGGTGTTCTTTCGCCAAGGTATCCTTGATAACATATTCTCAAATTCAGATTCGGCTCGAGAGCCCATTCTTTAAAAAAGGTCTAATGTGCGATTTTTCTCGAAGAAATTTGGTGAAAAAGTGTGCTGAAAGTGCAGTTTTTACACACTAAAAATTCATAACTTGAATATTGTGGCTCATTTTGAACCCGTTCCGATGGCCAAAATTTTGTCTTGACGTCATCTAAGTTTTCATCTCTCACGGATGGAAGCCAATTTCAACCAGAAGGTCTTCAAAAATGTGGATTTATCAAGTATTTTCGTACAGAAAATTTGTGACAGAAGTTTATTTGCGTCATGTTAAGAAAATCATAACTTGGTCGATTTTCATAGTATTGAGCTGGTTCCGGCGCCAAAATTTCACAAATTGAGTTGGCTACGTTTTCACAGGAGGTATCAAGTTCGAACAGTATCCAAAAGGCCTTCTTTTATTGCTCAGAGTATGTGTGACGCGTCGAAAATCCTAAATGCTGAATATTATTTCATCTGGGTTGAAACTTCGAAAATTCATAACTCGGTCAATTTTTATCGGATCATGCACATATTTTTACACAAGGTCACTAACTCAAAGATCTACAACTTTGCTTCTAAAGTAGAGACCGGGTTCTGCTCCGATCAATACCATTTTTTTATTGAAGAACGTGTCAGAGTTGACACTGGAGCCCAAAATAAGTTTGTTTGAGGTGAAACTTCAAAAATTGATAACTAATTCACATTTTGTCAGATTGAGCCCATTTTCGGACATAAATTTTTTCTTGATGTTGGCTATATTTTGTTTTCACATTTCAACTTCAAAAATTACACTTAAGTCCCTGCGATTTAGCCTGGAACGTGTCAAACTCAAGTGAGTAAAAATTTGCACTATTGCTTGTGGTTGTTGGAGGCCCAATTGCATATTCAAAGCCCATATCTTTGCTCCAATTTCCATTATATACTCTCATTCTTTTCACACAAATAGGACACGACGGAAAAAAAAACCTTTGCCACAACCTTGTCAAAATATCAAATCCTTTCAAGAACCGTAGAAATCTTGAAATCCTTGTTACAAACCCCATCTCACTACAAACAAGTTATCTCATTCTCCAGTAAGGGTGAGACTGGTTTGATCTCCATGATCAAAAGAGTGTAGAAGCATTCATACATGTCATATCGGTTTTAACATTACAAAATTTCATATATTTATTTTCTTTGTATTTCATGGTATACTAATTTGTTTAATGTGTTCATGAGATTCAACACTACAGGTTTGGACCATCTAATAATCCCATGCAGGTTTATTACAAAACATTGAGGCCAAAACAGAACAATAACCAATGCATAGCTCATGGCAAGACAGACATCCTGAGGAGGTTAAGGGCGTGGGTTCAACACTCACCCCTATTGGTTTTGGTTTTCTTCCATTTTATTTATCCTTTTACCTATTTTCATTTTTTCAGTTTAAAACATTTTTCACAAACATTTAATTTTTCATAATAAACTCGATTATTTAATACTCACCCCTGACATTTGCATTATTTTTATTTTCTAACCCTATTTTGATGCTTTTTCCCCTATCTATTTTTTGGCAAACTTAATTTTTTTTTGTTAATCATTAAACATAAGTTTTTTTTATAAACTTTTTTATATAATTAAAATTAATTAGATTTTAGGTTTTTTTTAATTAACTTTTTTTTCAAAATTAACTTTTTTTAATTAAAATTAATTAGGTTTTAGGTTTTTTTAATTAACTTTTTTTCAAAATTAACTTTTTTTTTACTAATTAAAATTAATTAGGTTTTTTAGGTTTATTAATTATCATAAATCATTTTTTTCATAAAAAAATCACCAAAATATTTTCTTTTCTATTTTCATCTTATTTTTATTTTTCTAGATACAATGTATATGGCGCGTTCAACTGTAATAGCGTAGATTTATTTTTTCCGTATTTTTTTATCATTATCATGTAATTGCTTCCGGGATGTAATAGTTTTAGGATTTCTTTTCCGCACTCTTCACTATTATGTAACTGGCCCAAAGCTCTGTAATAGCCTAGGTTTATATTTTCGCCTTTACCGTCAGCTACTATATTTTATGCAATGCTTAGATTAATAGGATTGTATGGAAAGATAAAAATGAACGATAGAAAATCCTAATTGCAAGATAAATAACTGAACTGAATCATTTACACACTCGCACCTCTAGGATAACATCACTTGTTATCTTCGGAAAAACAATGGTCATGTCCCTCGGACGTAAGGATACCCTTAGCAAAGATTCTCGGTTAAAGTCATCATAAAGAACATAGTCCCTCAATGTCCCTCGAGTTGCCTACGAGAAATAATCTTGTCCCTCGATGTTGCCTACGAATATATGATGACAGTCCCTTTGAACTACTAAGGTATCATTATATGTTGCCTTCTATGACCATAACAATGACCCGCGTCTGTCCCTCATACATCCAACGATAGGGCTACCTACTCACTAATAGTAGGATAACACTGTCTAATGGTTAGGAGGAAAAGAATGACTTTTTCAAGTATAAGTAGATAAGTTCTTAGATGCTTGCTCAAAACAACTTTTTGCACCTACACAAAAATATTTCAAAACACTTTCAAAAACATTCGTCTTGTCAACACTCTTGAGGACTGATACAAGAGTTATCACAAAGCAAATCGTCGCAATAAGGTATTTTCAAACTATTTCTTTTCAAAAACACAAAGCACGAGGTATTAAAAAATGAGCTAAGCATTTAAGAGCTCGTGGAAAACCACGTATGGAAAGGATGATAACACCTTCCATTTCCATAATCTACCCCCTTACTCAGAAAATCTCGAAAAAGGTCTTTTTCTGTTCTTTTCGCTCTTTCCTTTATTGGATAAAAGAGTAGTCGGTGGCGACTCTTGCTTACTGCAATATTTACAAATACAAAACGCAAAACCAGTATTAACAGTCAGTTCTCCCGTCGTATCACAAATACCAATACAACATTTATTATTTTTTTCTACTATTATACCCTTTTTTATTAGCTTTCACGATTTTCAATTACTCTACTAACTATAATAAATAAGGGTATTTTAGTAAATGATACTCCCTATGTCTCATAATAAGTGTCTCGTTTGCACTTTTTATATGTCTCAGAATAAATGTCTCTT